GAGACCCTGTCTCTACTATAAATAGAAAGAAATTAATTGGCCAACTGATATATATAGAAAAAATTAGCCGGGCATGGTGGCGCATGCCTGTAGTCCCAGCTACTTGGGAGGCTGAGGCAGCAGGATTGCTTGAGCCCAGGAGTTTGAGGTTGCTGTGAGCTAGGCTGACGCCATGGCACTCACTCTAGCCTGGGCAACAGAGTGAGACTCTGTCTCAAAAAAAAAAAAAAGAATGGGTGTTGGTTTATGGAGAAAGCTGGGGTCTAAAGAAACAAACCACTTGTCAGCTCTCTTTCCTACTCCAGGCTTAGGGATGCACCCTTTTGATTCCACCTTTTCTGGCTTCTCAAGTCCTTGACTTCTCCCAGCCATGTTTTCATCCTAGCTCTGAAGTTATCTCTATGTTGATTTCGGTGTAAACTAATTTGGTTCTTCCCTTACTCTGCCCTTGACAGCATCTGTGGAACCCTCCATTCTGTGGATCAGGTGAGCTATTTAACAAGGGCTCAGAATTGGTTCTTGGAGGGGAGAGAAGACCTTAACCACTTCGGTACAAGCATCGACTATAGTCGACACCCACAGATGAACCCAGCATCGACTTTAGGCAACAGCCATATGACATGACTTTTCTAATTTTTCATTTATCAAAATAAATTTGTGAACATTTAAAAATAACGTAATGAGGCCGGGCGCGGTGGCTCACGCCTGTAATCCTAGCACTCTGGGAGGCCAAGGTGGGCGGATTGCTCGAGGTCAGGAGTTCAAAACCAGCCTAAGCAAGAGCAAGACCCAGTCTCTAAATAGAAAGAAATTAATTGGCCAACTAATATATATAGAAAAAATTAACCAGGCATGGTGGCGCATGCCTGTAGTTCCAGCTACTCAGGAGGCTGAGCAAGGGATCGCTTGAGGCCAGGAGGTTGAGGTTGCTGTGAGCTAGGCTGACGCCACGGCACTCACTCTAGCCTGAGCAACAAAATAAGACTCTTCAAATATAAAAAAAGAACGTAATGAAAACATATATGTATATGTTACCTATTCTGATTTACATTACAAGTAAAGCTGCCTGTAAAGTAAAACAAGCTTTCAGTGCTTTAAAGTTTTCCTCATCACACAAGAGCAAAACGGATTTCAATGCACAGCACAAATTATCGTTTGGCTTTGAGTGCCAGCTGTGGGCAAGGTTTCGTGGCGTCAGCGCCGTATGGGAAGTGGTTAAGTGTTAGGTATTTGCACTGTGTTCACTAGGGTAGTGATGTGTTCATTTTCCTCTCGTAGTATCTCAACATAAAACTAACTGACATCAGTGTCACAGATCCTGAGAAATCCCTCACATGGTGAGTTGGGAACCGTGGGGGAAAAGGAAACAGCTCCAAAGATTTGGCCTAGGTGGGTAGAGGACATTTTAAGGGTGTTTTCATATTTGTCTTTGTCTAGTTATCAGTGAAGAATTGCTTCATCCGGGGCTCAGTGGTCCGCTTGTGCAGTTGCCGGCAGATGAGGTGGACACACAGCTGCTACAGATGGCAGCAAGGAAGGAAGCCCTGCAGCAGAAACAGTGATGGCTCCTCTTTCCCCTTCTTCCATTGGTGACCATAACCTCCAGTCCCAGCCCAGCTTCCCTTCCCCCAGTACTTGAAGTGTTTGGTTTTTTTCTTTTAAATAGTGATTTTTTTAAAGGGATAAGAGGAGTAATAGTGGGGAACAGCTATCATTTGTTGAGAAGGGGAGGATAAGTAGGCTGGAAACTGCAAAGCTTTCCCAGTCCCCAGCATCTGCCATTCTCACTTCTTCCCTGGAGATGCTGGGAGAGTTTCTGAGTTATTTCCAGGGCAACATGTGATTCATTTTGGGATGGAAGGATCTGTCCGAATCGGGAATAAAATTTATGATGCAAATTTGAGTTCTGGTTCTGTAGTTTTTGTTTTGGGAAAGGAACTGAGGGGTAGAAAAGGTGTTGAATTCATCCCAGTCCTGTTGCTTCCCATTCCCCTAGCCCAGAGCTCCAACCCAATTCTCAACATTATCTGCCACCACTCTCCTTGGTATAAGCATAATACAGTTGACTATACCATGTTTCCTGACGTGCCTACATACATGTTCTCCCTCTAGCCTTTGCTTTACCCGTACCTATAACTGGGAGGTTCCTGCCCTTCCATGTCTATGTCCTATCAATTGACAAGTGTCAAGAGACACCAAAATGCATTTGATGCTGGGTGGGTTTCGTCGTCAATCCAGCCAAATCACATACGCTTTTTCTGAATATCTATAGAAGATAAAAAAACCAGGATGCAATTGTATTGAGAAGTTATGTGGGATTACTAATTTCATTACTCCAGCAAATAGGAGTTCCTGACAAATGCGGAATTCTCAGCGTTAAGGGACCTTAGAGACCATGTAGTGTGATCTTTCTTGTGTACGAAGAAAAGAGATTCAGGGAGGAAGCTGGACGCCAGGCGTGGCAAATGGCCCTCCTTGGGTCTCCGTCACGCAGTCCCGCCTTAGCTGCTTCGGACTACTCAGCTGGGGACCGCCTGGTCCCGGCCGACCTCCCGGCCAGTTCCCCGCGCCGCTGGCGCGCGCCTCGCCGCCCGGCCCGAGGACCAGGCGAGGTGCCCTCGGCGGCGCTGACGGAGCGCGCGTCCCGGCGTCCGAGGCGCTCGGGCCTCGCTCCGCCTGCGATCTCATCTTTCTCCTGGGCTCAAGCAATCCTGCTGCCTCAGCCTCCCAAGTAGCTGGGACTACAGGCATGCGCCACCATGCCCGGCTAATTTTTTCTATATATATCAGTTGGCCAATTAATTTCTTTCTATTTATAGTAGAGACAGGGTCTCGCTCTTGCTCAGGCTGGTTTTGAACTCCTGCCCTCGAGCAATCCGCCCGCCTCAGCCTCCCAGAGTGCTAGGATTACAGGCATGAGCCACCGCGCCTGGCCTAACCCATTCTTGATAGCTACCATTAAAGAACTGTTATGGGCTACACCTGTACTCTGCGTAGTATTTGTAATCTTACCATCCATGGGTTCAGAGACATTGTTTTAAACTTGCTTTTCTTTTTCTTTCTTTAAAGAGACAAGGTCTCATTATGTTACCCAGGCTGACCTTGAACTTCTACCCTCAATTAATCACCTTGGCCTCTTAAAGAACTAGGATTACAGACGTTGGCCACTGCACGCAGGCCCATGAGCTATCTTGAAACCTTTGTTTTTTGGGAACCAGAGTCCCATATTTAGAAAAAGGTAGCTAGCATTGCTCTTGATGATGCAGGCACAACTAATGTCCTTTCTTACCCAATCCTCAATCCCCCTGAACTGTTGAAGATTGCTTCCAAAACACCAGTGCTCCAAGCCATGTTACCTCTCTCCCAACTTCTTTTTTTTTATTTTTTGAGGCAGAATCTCGCTTTCTTGCCCAGGCTAGAGTGAGTGCTATCGCGTCACCCTAGCTCACAGCAACCTCAAACTCCTGGGCTCAAGCAATCCTCCTGCCTCCGCCTCGCGAGTAGCTGGGACTACAGGCATGCGCCACTATGCCCGGCTAATTTTTTCTATATATATTAGTTGGCCAATTAATTTCTTTCTATTTATAGTAGAGATGGGGTCTCGCTCTTGCTCAGGCTAGTTTTGAACTCCTGACCTTGAGCAATCCGCCTGCTTCGGCCTCCCAGAGTCCTAGGATTACAGGCGTGAGCCACCGCGCCCGGCCTGCAGTGAACTATTGATTGTACTAGTGCACTTCAATCTGAGTAACAGAACAAGCAAAATCTGTCTCTAAAAATAAAATTTTTAAATAAAATGATCATAATAAATGGCAATTTAAAAAATGTTCTTACCTTGTCAAAAACAAAGTTAGCAGTTCTCTGTTGGACCCTAATTTTTGTAAAATTCTAAAAGTCTTTGAAATCTAGTATCTGAGATCTACTGCCTCAGTGGTGTTCTCACCATAGACCTAGATGCTGAAATACTTTGGACAGCACACCACCATCTGCAGCAGTGAAGTAACATTTAGGAATTGCATAAATCGGTATCTTTTCATTCATTCCCTTGAGGAGGTATGTGGCACAACAGTGGTCTGACAACAAGCAAGAGAAAAGCAGCTTTTCTCTCAATACATAAGTTACTTTAGGGATTGGGGCTACAACACAACAGGTATGCTTGCCATGTGAAAGGCCTAGGCAGGACAAATGAGGAAAATCCAAGACAAGTCACCTTACCAAATTGCCTGAAGCTTGTTTTGATTTCCACACTTGTCTTGCCCTAGGGCTCCAACCTATATGCCATCCATAAATACCTCCTGCACTGCCAGTGACATAAATGGAAACCTCTGCTCTAAAAGGCAAAGGGCATCAAAGTCCCTCTCACCATTCTCTGCATGTCAATGTGTCCCCCACCAAGAAATTATCTTACTTAGAAGAGTCTCACACTCTGTTGCCCAGGCTAAAGTGCCGTGGCATCAGCCTAGCTCACACCAACCTCAAACTCCTGGGCTCAAGCGATCCTCCTATCTCAGCCTCCCAAGTAGCTAGGACTATAGGCATGCCCAACCATGCCCAGCTAATTTTTTCTATATATTTTTAGTTGGCCAATTAATTTTTCTATTTTTAGAAGAGACGGAGTTTCACTCTTGCTCAGGCTGGTTTCAAACTCCTGACCTTGAGCAATCCTCCCACCTCGGCCTCCCAGAGTGTTAAGATTATAGGTGTGAGCCACAGTGCCCAGCCTGATCCAATCTTTATAAAAGACAATCAGGTAGTAGGTATATTTTAAAGGTTTTTTTTCTAAAGAAACAGATGTGTACAAAGATAAGTACATGAGGATGTATAGGGCAGCATCTTTTGTTTTTATGAGACAGAGGCTCACTCCGTTGCCTAGACTAGCTTGCTATGGCCTCATCACAGCTCACAGCAACCTCAAACTCCTGGGCTCAAGCAATCCTTCTCTCTCAGCCTCCTGAGCAGCTGGGGCTACAGGCACCCACCACCACAACAGCTAATTTTTTCTATTTTTAGTAGAGACAGGGTCTTGAGGTCTCACTCTTGCTCAGGCTGGTCTGGAACCCCTGACCTCAAGTGATCCTCCTGCCTCAGCTTTCCAGAGTGCTAGGATTATAGGTGCGAGCCACTGCGCCTCAGCCAGGGGCAGCATCTTTTTTAAAAAACAAAAAACTGGAAAAAGCCTAAGTGACCAGCAGCAAGGATTTGGTTAAATTACTTCCAGCTACCTAATAAAAACGCCATTCAGAAGTTAAGAATGTTAAAGATCAAGGCTGGGCATGGTGGCTCATGCCTGTAATCCTAGCACTTTAGGAGGCCAAAGTGGGAGAATAGCTTGAATCCAGGAGTTCGAGACCAGCCTGAGCAATGTAGTGATACCCCATCTCTACGAAAAAAGACTGTTATTTTTTTTTTTTGAGACAGGGTCTCGCTTTGTCGCCTGGGCTAGAATGAGTGCCGTGGCATCAGCCTAACTCACAGCAACCTCAAACTCCTGGGCTCGAGCAATCCTACTGCCTCAGCCTCCTGAGTGGGTAGGACTACAGGCATGCGCCACCATGCCCAGCTAATTTTTCTATATATATTAGTTGGCCAATTAATTTATTTCTATCTATAGTAGAGACGGGGTCTCACTCTTGCTCAGGCTGGTTTTGAACTCCTAACCTCAAGCAATCCGCCTGCCTCGGCCTCCCAGAGTGCTAGGATTACAGGTGTGAGCAACCGCGCCTGGCCAACTTTTTATTTTTTTAAGTGCTATCTAGAGAGAAAAAATTTTTAATTTAGCTAGTCATGGTGGTATGGGCCTATAGTCCCAGCTTCTGAGGAGGCTGAAGCAGGAGGATTGCTTGAGCCTAGAAGTTCCAGGCCACAGTGAACTCTGCTTGTGCCATGCACTCCAGCCTGAGTGACAGAGTAAGACACTGTCTCCAACAACAACAAAAAAAAGAATGTTAAGATCAACTGCTTTATTGACATGGAAAATATCCATAACACACAACATATTATTAAGTTCTGAAGCTGAGATGGCATTTAAAAAAAAGAGAACAGGTAGGAGAGGCTGGGGACTGCGGAGGCTGCAAAGTGGATGTGTCCTCTCGTCATGTGTTACAGGTCTTCTCCAGCCTTGCTGTCATTCAGTCCACTGTGTCCAGTCTTACATCTCCTGCACAACAGGGATCTGATGCCACGTGTGACAAGAGGAGCTGCTGTTCTGGCTAACCTTCAAGCACTGTCTCAGTGGAGCTGATATTCAACTCATAGGTGAGAGCTGAAGAGGACGGACAACCACACGCGAGTCACCTACACCTACTCTGGATTAGGTTCGCAAGACTGCAAAGAGATCCCGGGATACGGAAATCGTTGACAATATTCAAAGGTGAACCAAAATACTTCGGCTAAACCTGGGGAGTCGGAGAAACTGTGGGGAGGGAGCATGTTCGCATATCTGCCGTCCCACGGGCTGGCCAGAGGAGGCACCCTTATCCCCCTACACAGGGAGAGGATCCCTTTCCCACCGACCCCCACTCCCACACAGGCAGAGAATCGCCTGAAGGTGGTGGGAGGTGGCAACACGGCAGACAAGCGGTTTGGAGGGGAGTCTGGAGCAGGCAGCATATTGAACTTTCCGCAGCGCCCTGCCGAAGCACTGGGGAGTGCAGGAAGGGTCTGAACCCAGGGGCCACGTCCCAACCCCGCCACCCTGCGCTTAGAGAAGTGGAGAGCCAGGGGAGAGCCAGGTGGGACGTCCCTCTTGGGCACCCCCACTGCCCTAGAGCAGCCGAACAGTTCCTGCTTCTGGAGCAGGCAGCCCTCTGAGTTTGCAGTGAGCTGGGGCGGCAGTGGGCGGGGAGAGTCCGAGCCCCGAGGCGGCCTCCCAACCCTGCCCCCACCTGGCCCCGCATCTGCAACCCACAGGACGCCTGTCTAGGGCACCCCAACTGCCCTAGATCAGCCACATGGTTCCGGCATCTGGAGCAGGTAGCCCTCTGAGTTTGCAGCGCTCCGCAGGGGTGGCAGTCGGTAGGGAAAGAGTCCAAGCCCTGCGGCTGCTTCCCAGCCACGCCGCCCTGCCCCGTGGCTTGCAGAGCTGTGCTGGACGCCTGTCTTGGGCACCCCCACTGCCCTGGACCAGCTGAACTGTTCCTGCGTCTGGAGAGGCTGCTGTTGGAGTTCGCAGCGCTCGCTGGAACAGGCGCAGGAGCTGAACCCACAGGTGCTGAACTAAGTGGCCGCCTGCCTGCACCCCAGAAAGGAGTGCCGAATTGGGCGTTCTACCTCAGGACGCTTTCAGGTCCAGGAAGTGGGGACTCTACCTTAAAGGAGGCTTGGCCTTTGGTTATTGTTGAAGCTGTGACTAGCGCTGGGTAGACAGAGGATACTTCCCCACACATAAACCACTGGGTCTCTGCGAGCAGGGGAATTAGGCAGGGCAGTGGTCGATTGAAGCCAGCCTGCCAAACCCAACCCAGCCTTCCACCAAACAGGGGACCCGCAGTGTCAGCACCGCCAAAGTGTGCCGTCGCCACCCCATAGATTGGAAACGCTGCGGAGGCCTGCCCTGGTACTGAGCTCAGTCTCATCCTCTGCCCTAACTCAGCAGGTGGACTTGGAAGCTTTATTTAAAAGGGTGGAAAGGTGAGAGCAGTGTTTTGTTCGGTGGCAATCAAACAAGCCAGATCCAGGGAGGTTTCTTGCTGCATTTAGCTGTTTATGTTCTGTGCCCAGAGAGCAGAGCCTATCATAGCAAGGCAGAGTAGCGAAGGAGGCTGCTATTCCTGAGGACTTGAGGAACCTTTGGGAGTGGCAAGTCACTCGCTTAACATTGAGATACCTGTATATCCTGTTTAGAGGCTTAGAGCGGAATACAAAGATCTTGGGATACATTGATAACTGACTCCTTCCCACAAACCACAGAGATCAAAAGAAAGAGTAAACTAACCAAGTGACACCAACTTACATGATATGATTAAACTAACAGAGGACAAATTCCGAATATGGATTGTTAGAAAGCTCAACGGTACTGAAGAGAAAATAGAATCCCAACATAGAGAAACCATAAGAACAATCCAGGAAATGAATGAAAAATTCTCCAAAGATATTGAAGTCATTCAGAGAAATCAAGCAGAAATTCTGGCAATGAAGGAAACATTCAAGGAACTCCATAATACAGTGAAAAGCCTCAAAAACAGGATCATGCTGAGGAAAGAATCTCAGATCTGGAAGATTAAGCCTATATGCTAAACAAATAAGAGGAAGAAAGGGTACACAGAAACAAGACCAAAGCTTACAGGAAGTATAGGGTTATGTAAAAAAGTCAAATCTTAGGCTGATTGGGATTCCAGAAGGGGAAGAGGAACATTCACAAGGGTTAGAAAATTTATTTTATGGCATAATGGAGGAAAATATGCCAGGCCTAGCTAGAAATCTGGATATCCAAATACAAGAAGGGCACAGAACTCCTAGGAGACAAAATGTGAATAGGCAATCACCTTGTCATGTGGTTATCAAGCTGACCAAAGTAAATGTGAAAGAAGCAATCCTCTGTACAACAGCAAGGCGAAAACAACAAATAACCTATAAAGGAAAGCCTATCAGACTAATCACAGACTTCTCATCTGAAACCGTACAAGCCAGGAGGGAGTGGGTTCTTATCCTTAATCTTCTAAAACAGAACAAAGCCCAACCTAGAATTCTTTATCAGGCAAAATTAAGTGTCATCTATGAGGGCAAAATAAAATCCTTCTCAGACAAGTAATCGCTGAAGGAATATGCAAAGAAGCTCTGGCATAGCGAGGTGTGGGGGGGGGCAGGGGCAAGATACGTAACCCTAACAATATTTGAACTCCCATAATATGAAGTAATAAAAAAAATTAATTTTTAAAAAATACATAAAAGAGATTGTCTTTAACAATTGGGAATGTTAGAGTTTTCCCTTTTCTCTTCAAATTCTATTTTTACTCCAATTCTCTAATAAATTTTATTCTAATACATAAAAAAAAGAGAGAGAGAGAGAACAGATTGTTAAGGGAAAAGTTCCACAAACGCACAGAGAATATGATTTTTGGCCGGGCCCAGTGGTTCACACCTGTAATCCTAGCACTCTGGGAGAGCAAGGCAGGATGACTGCTTGAGCTCAGGAGTTCAAGACCAGCCTAAGCAACAGAGACCCCATTTCTACTAAAAATAGGGAAAAAAAATTAACTGGGCAATTAATAGAAAAAATTAGCTGAGTGTGGTGGCACATGCCTGTAGTCCCAGCTACTCAGGAGGCTGAGGCAGGAGGATTGCTTGAGCCCAGGAGTTTGAGGTTACTGTGAGCCAGGCTGACAACACGGCACTCTAGCTCCTGCAACAGAGCAAGACTGTCTCAAAAAGAAAAAAAAGAGAGAGAGAGAGAGAGAGAACATAATCTTGTTTTTTAATTAAAAAAAAAAAAAGAGGCCGGGCGCGGTGGCTCACGCCTGTAATCCTAGCACTCTGGAGGCGGGCGGTGGATTGCTCGAGGTCAGGATTCGAAACCAGCCTGAGCAAGAGCGAGACCCTGTCTCTACCATAAATAGAAAGAAATTAATTGGCCAACTGATATATATAGAAAAAATTAGCCGGGCATGGTGGCACATGTCTGTATCCCAGCTACTCGGGAGGCTGAGGCAGTAGGATTGCTTGAGCCCAGGAGTTTGAGGTTGCTGTGAGCTAGGCTGACGCCATGGCACTCACTCTAGCCTGAGCAACAAAGTGAAACTCTGTCTCAAAAAAAAAAAAAAAAAAAAAAGGCGGGCGGGTGGCTCACGCCTGTAATCCTAGCACTTTGGGAGGCCGAGGCGGGCGGATCGCTCAAGGTCAGGATTCGAAACCAGCCTGAGCGAGACCCCGTCTCTATCAAAAATAGAAGAAATTAATTGACCAACTAAAATATATATACAAAAAATTAGCCGGGCATGGTGGCGCATGCCTGTAGTCCCAGCTACTCGGGAGGCTGAGGCAGCAGGATCGCTTGAGCCCAGGAGTTTGAGGTTGCTGTGAGCTAGGCTGACGCCACGGCACTCACTCTAGCCTGGGCAACAAAGTGAGACTCTGTCTCAAAAAAAAAAAAAAAAAAAAAAAAAAAAAAGATAGATTTCAGTTTCTTGAGCAAAATAAGTAAGTAAGTAAATAAATAAATAAGAGCCACAAAGAATTGGATTTCATTTCTAGCTGTGTCATTTACTAGTTTTGTAGACTTGAACAAGTTTCTTAGTCTATCTAAGCCTTAGTTTCCTTATGTGTAAAATAGCAACAATACTATATGTCACTTTGGGGTGTTGTGAGAATTACATTAGTAAGTGTATTTGGAATAGTGCTGAGTCAATAGGTCTTCAAATGTTAGCTATTTTCCTTTCTTTAAGCACCTACCATATACCTGGCCGATGCTAGGCATTAGGTGCACAGTGGAGAGCTTAGACATGGTTCTGGCCCTGTATGAAGAACAGACCATAAACAGAAAATATCCTTCTATAAAATCATAATTTGAAAAGCACCCACTAGGAAGAAAACAGACTCTATGATAGAGGGGTCTACTTGGCTAGAAGGATCAGAAGTCTCTCCAAGGATACAGCATTTGACCCAAGTCCTGAAAGATGTTCAGGAGCCAATGATACAAGGGGGTAGGGGATGTAAAAGCAGTACATACAGAAAGGACTGCATTAGTCTTCTGTTTATTCTTTACATTTTAACACAAGGGAGATTATACCACATATACTATTCTGCAAATGCCTTCCATGACAGTACATATCATTACTATATGAGAGCTATATAATATGGAAGTATCACAATTTAATCCACTACCTTTCGATGGGTTAATAACAGATGGATATTTAAGTTGGTGGATATTTAAGGTGTTTCCAATTTTTGGCTATTACAAATAAAACTACAGACATCTCTCAACATATATCTTTGTGTAACCAATTCTAAAATTTCTAGAAGCTGCATTAAAAGAGTACATAATTTAATCTGGGAAAAAAACTAAGTTGGTTTTCGAAAAAATTTTATTGATGCCTCTTCTGACCTCTCTCTCATACTTACTCTTTAAACTATATATTGCTTTGTATTGTTTCCAATACATGATACAACTCCCCAGCTAATCTGTAAACTTAAGGCACAAGTCATTCATGTCTTCTCTAACTCTCCCATCTTGCCCAGCCCTCAAATACTTGTCGAATTAAAGAGATTCCAGAACTCTGGGCACACTCACCCCAGACAAACTTGTAATAGGTACCTACCTCAGGTCATTCTTGAGTTCCACGACCACATCCTTGCCCACAAGGGACTTGAAAAAGGAATAGAAGAGCTATTGGGCGAGAAAGGGAAAAACGTCATATGGGAAGGAACATGGTAGGGAGGAGTGTCCCCCTGCCAGTATTATCAAACACTGGTATTGGGATAACCATCGCATCTCTGGCAGTTCTCAAAACTTCACAGCATAGAATACTAGGTTGGCAGGTGTGAAAGGCTGGTGCCCAAATAATTCCACATACTTCATTGCACTCCACTTAAAGCCCGAGAGAGACTCAGCCCTGCACCCATCAGCCGCCCCCGCCTGCTCTTTCAATCGACCTCTCCTGGGGTCCCTGACCACTCTTTTTTTCAATGAATTGCAGAAACATCCCACCCGCACCCTCCGCAAGCCTGGTCTCCGGCAGGGAAATGCTCCTGAAAGTCTAGCTTATCCGTCTCCTGCTGTCCCCACCGATTCTCTCGGAGTTGTTGGTTTTTTCCCCGAATAAGGGGAAAAAAAACCCATCTGCCTTCAGGTGCCTTCTCAAGGAACTTGAGGAGCAGTATGGAAGGAAAAGCCCCCGGCCTAACTCCAGCACAGAGGGACAAAGCCCGGACTCCCACCGCGCTCCAACCGTCTAAGCAGCCCGCGCTCTGCTAGGGCGCTCCCTTGTGACGTCACGGTACCCACCATGATGCTGGCGCCCCGGCTACGGTCCGGACCGGGATGGAGACGGCTGGGCGCTGCGGGCAGCACACCGGGAGGGAACCCGTGCGCGAGCCCGCGCGTGGGGCGGGGTGCGGCCGCGCAGGCGCAGCGAGAAGCGTCTCGGAGAACTCCAAGTGCTGAAGACTAGAGCGCAGCAGAAACACAGCGGCCCCCCGAGAGCGTCGGGGTAGAGCCCTGGGGATCTGGAAGCCGGGAAGAAGGGGCGGGGTTTCCTGCCTTCTCACTTCCTCCCAGTGGGGCAGGCTCCTACTGCGCAGGTGCAGCCCCAGGAGCGCCGGTGGGGGTTAGGGGAGCTTTGTGCTTCTTCAGAAACGGTTTTTTTTTTTGTTTTTTGTTTTCCTTAGACAGAGTCTCGCCTTGTCGCCCAGGCTAGAGTGAGTGCCGTGGCGTCAGCCTAGCTCACAGCAACCTCACACTCCTGGGCTCAGGACTACAGGCATGCGCCACCATACCCGGCTAATTTTATATATATATATATCAGTTGGCCAATTAATTTCTTTCTATTGTTAGTAGAGATGGGGTCTCGCTCTTGCTCAGGCTGATCTGGACCTTCTGACCTTGAGTGATCCTCCTGCCTTGGCCTCCCAGAGTGCCAGGATTACAGGCCTGAGCCATCTGGCCCAGCCTAGAAAGGTTTTTGTTGTTTTACAAAATAGTGCCTTTTCACAGCGTGATTTCCGGACACCCTACACACTTTTGTTTTTTTTGAGAGAGTCTCACTCTGTTGCCCAGGCTAGAGTGCCGTGGCATTAGCCTAGCTCACAGCAACCTCACACTCCTGGGCTCAGGTGATCCTGCTGCCTCAGCCTCCCAAGCAGCTAGGACTAGGCATGCACCACCATGCCCGGCTAATTTTTTCTACATATTTTTAGTTGGCCGATTAATTTCTTTCTATTTTTAGTAAAGACGAGGTGTCGCTCTTTCTGGTTTCGAACTCCTGACCTTGATCAATCTTCCCACCTTGGCCTCCCAGAGTGTTAGGATTACAGGCGTGAGCCATGGTGCCTGTCTCCTACACACTTCTTATTCAGAATTGTTACGGAGTTTGTGAAAAATTATGATTTGCACACTTTTCTATATGTGTTACGTTGGATAAGTAAAAACATTAAAAAAATGAGGAGTCACCAAGATCAGGAAGCTTGAGCACAAATCTTGATTTTATCAAAGCTACTGAATAAATGCAATTCTCTCAGGGGCCCAACCTCAGTCTCCACGTTTCTTACACACTTTTGCCTAGGACTATTCTGTAAAGGACTGAGTGAAACTAAACAGACTGTGGTTCATGATACAAATAACCCATTCTAATATTTCACTTCCAAATTTTGCCCCTTCAAACACACAGGGACACAAATGCACAGTTATATATAATTCTATACTCATGTTCCCCCAGGATTTTATAAATATATGTTATTATGATACAATAGGTGAAAATTCTTTTACAGGAATAAGACTATAGATCCTCATTTCTCATCTTGCATAAAAATACCCATTTGTCAGGAGTATGATGTAGAAATGCTTTCAAAAGGCAATGTATGTAATAATGTACTCTGTGAATGCACAGATACTGACTTTCCTGGACCCCACCTACAAGGACATCAAGCAGGGTTTCTCCCCCACTCCCAAACCTAAACACCTGAACCAGCCTATAACTGATTATAAGCAGTATTTATGGTTAACAACTACTCCACTGGGGCAAAAGCACCTGAGTATCAAAAATTACTTTCCTGTTTGAAACAATGAGCCCGTGAGAATTCAAATAGTTTGCCCTTACCAGTTTAATCATTCACAATGAGCTCACAGAGAATCTTTCCATGAACTCTTTTCCTTATTTTTCAAGGTACACTCACAGCCTAAAGATACCAGAAGTAATTTCCATTAGCAACAAATTTACTGAGTGACAAATAACCATCCATACAGGAAGAAGAAAGTTAGGGTGGCCAGAAATAAATAACAGACATTCAAATTCATCAAATGGTTCCAAGAGGGGCGTCATTCTCCTAAGAGTCCACTCCAGAGTGAGAAACAGGACGTTTAGGAGCGTGAAGAGATGGTGTATAGGACTCCTCCATCAGAATCCCAAAGGGATAGTAACTTAGGTTCAGATCCAATCAGTTCCAAAATCACGATGTTTGAAGATGAGGGGGAAATTCACTTAGAGGCACCCTAGAGCACTCCAATTCCTGAAAAGATTAATCTACTTCTTCAATGGTGGGACCCGTAGCAGGCCTTCCAGGCGTATACCCTGTTCCACAGGTAGGCCCAGTGCACCCTCCTTGGTAGAGTTTTGTGATGATGGGGTTACACACCTGCTCCAATTCCTTCCTCTTATGATCAAACTCGTCTTTCTCGGCCAGTTGATTTGCCTCCAGCCACGAAAGGACTTCATTGCATTTATCCAGTATTTTCTTTTTATCAGACTCACTAATCTTGCCCTTCAGACCTTCGTCACTCACAGCACTCTTCATGTTAAAAGCATAGGATTCCAAGGCATTTTTTGCAGCGATTTTCTCCCTCTGGACCTCATCTTCAGCTTTATATTTCTCGGCATCCAGAACCATGCGCTCAATCTCCTCCTTGGTCAGACGGCCCTTGTCATTGGTGATGGTTATCTTGTTGGCCTTGCCTGTGCTCTTGTCCATGGCTGTGACATTGAGAATACCATTGGCATCAATGTCAAATGTCACCTCGATCTGAGGAACTCCCCTGGGTGCAGGAGGGATTCCAGTCAGGTCAAAGCGCCCGAGAAGGTTGTTGTCCCGTGTCATGGCCCTCTCACCTTCATATACCTGGATCAATACCCCAGGCTGGTTGTCAGAGTACGTGGTGAAGATCTGTGTCTGCTTTGTGGGGATGGTGGAGTTGCGCTTGATCAGGACAGTCATCACGCCCCCGGCTGTCTCTAACCCTAGGGACAAGGGAGCCACATCCAACAAAAGTAGGTCTTGTACCTTCTCAGACTTGTCACCCATCAAAATGGCTGCCTGTACTGCAGCCCCATAGGCTACTGCCTCATCAGGGTTGATGCTCTTGTTGAGATCACGTCCATTAAAGTAGTCTTGAAGCAGCCTCTGCACCTTGGGGATGCGGGTGGAGCCCCCTACTAAAACAATGTCATGAATTTTTGCTTTATCCATCTTGGCATCCCGAAGAGCTTTTTCCACAGGCTCCAGGGTGCCTCTAAACAGGTCTGCACACAACTCTTCAAACCGGGCTCTGGTGATGGATGTGTAGAAATCAACACCTTCATAAAGTGAATCTATTTCCAGGTTGGCCTGGGTGCTGGACGACAGGGTCCTCTTGGCCCTCTCGCAGGCGGTGCGCAGCCGCCGCACGGCTCGCTTGTTCTGGCTGATGTCCTTCTTGTGTTTCCTCTTGAACTCCTCCACAAAATGGCTCACAAGCCTATTGTCAAAGTCCTCCCCACCCAGGTGGGTGTCACCGGCCGTGGCCTTTACCTCAAAAATCCCATCATCTATGGTCAGGATAGACACATCAAATGTTCCTCCACCCAGATCAAAGATCAGGACGTGTCGCTCTCCCTGACCTCCTTTATCTAAACCATAGGCAATGGCAGCAGCTGTGGGTTCATTGATGATTCTTAGCACATTGAGTCCTGCAATCACACCTGCATCCTTTGTAGCCTGGCGTTGAGAGTCATTGAAATAGGCTGGCACTGTGATCACAGCATTCGTGACAGGATGTCCCAAAAAAGCCTCAGCAGTCTCCTTCATCTTAGTCAGTACCATTGAAGAGATTTCCTCAGGGTAGAAAGCTTTATTCTCCCCTTTGTAGGACACCAGCACCTTGGGTTTGCCTCCTTCATTGATCACTTGAAAAGGCCAAAGTTTCATATCAGATTGCACAACAGGATCATTAAATTTCCTGCCAATCAGACGTTTGGCATCAAAGACAGTGTTCTGGGGATTCATGGCTACCTGGTTCTTGGCGGCATCTCCAATGAGCCTTTCGGTGTCCGTGAAGGCCACGTAGCTGGGGGTGGTGCGGTTGCCCTGGTCGTTGGCGATGATCTCCACCTTGCCGTGCTGGAACACCCCCACACACGAGTAGGTGGTGCCTAGATCGATGCCTATGGCCATTCCCTTGGCAGTAGCCATGGTTTTCCGAGGCCTAAGGAGAAAGAATGAGATACCATTTGGCAGATTACTTTTATTTGTTATTTGTTATTTTTCAAAGGGAAGATACCTGCCCATTATTTTTTTATTTTGGTAAAATACACACAAAATGTACCATCTTAACCATTTTTAAGTGTATAGTTTGTGACCGAGTTCAATCATAGTGGTGTCCAACCATTTTCCAGAACTCTATTAATCTTTTTTTTTTTTTTCTTTTTGAGACAGAGTCTCACTTTGTTGCCCAGGCTATAGTGAGTGCCGTGGCGTCAGCCTAGCTCACAGCAACCTCGGGATCCTGCTGCCTCACCCTCCCGAGTAGCTGGGACTACAGGCATGCTCCACTATGCCTGGCTCATTTTCTCTCTCTCTTCTCTCTCTCTCTCTCTCTCTCTCTCTCTATATATATATATATATATATATTAGTTGGCCAATTAATTTCGTTCTATTTTTATAGTAGAGACGAGGTCTCGCTCTTGCTCAGGCTGGTTTTGAACTCCTGACCTTGAGCAATCCGCCCACCTCGGCCTCCCAGAGTGTTAGGATTACAGGTGTGAGCCACCTCACCCAGCCAGAACTCCATTAATCTTGCAAAACTGAAACTCTACCTTCATTAAAACAACTCCCCAATTCCCCCTCCTCCCCCAAGTCTCTGGAAACCACCATTCTTTTTTCTATCTCTATGAATCTGACTATACTTGGTACTCATATAAGTGAAATTATATAGTATTTGTCATTTTGTGACTTGGCTTATTTCGCTTAGCATGATGTCCTCAACACTCATCCATGTTGTAGCA